GAAATCGGCAAGGATCAAACGTAAAATGGTTTGAGGTTATGTTTATGGATCGATCATTTGATGGGCTGCCTTATATCGTATTGCCAGACTGATTATAACTGTTGCCATTTTTTTTTTTTTTTTTTTTTTTTGACAATTTATTTATTATATATACATATATATATTAGTAAATAAAAACACTACAATTTATATTTTCTGCAGCTCTTTTAACTGCCTTTGCTTTATTTCGATATATATTTTTCATGATTTTTGGGTTTCGTACAAACCATGTGACTTAATAAATATTAAAAAAAAAAAAATAGAATCACAATATAGACTAAAATAAAAAAAGCATATATAAAGAACTGAAAGTAGAATGTAAAAAAAATATATATAGAAAGGTTACAGATATAGGGACACCAAAAAACAGAAAAATTATGTGACTTCCTCTATGAAAATATTTCGTTTTTTTTTTTTAGAATTTTTTTTTTTTTTTTTTTTCAATTGCGCTTAACTCATTGACTCTGAGGCTGTGTTGGAGTTGGGATAAACAGCTATATATAGATATAGAAGTTACGGTGCGTCGGGTTCCATCGGTTCGAAGTAATCATCGTATCGTATCTACGCAGCTGTCGGATATTGGCGTGGCTCCAGCGAAATATTGAAGCCGTTCTCCAGCTTCAGGATGATGTCGGCCTGCAGCTTGAAGTCGGCCTCCGTGTCGGTCGAGTGGATGATGAAGTTGCGCACGATGGTCGAGAGTAGGACCTTCAGTTTCAGCATGGCGTACTTGCGACCAACACAGCTGCGCGGTCCGGCGCTGAACGGAATGAAGCTGTAGTAGTGCCTCTTGGCGGCGCGCTCCGGCAGGAAGTTGTCGGGATCGAACTTCGTTGGGTTCTCATAGATGTCGGGACGACGATGCACACAGTATTGGAGTACCACGCAAGTGGTGCCCTTGGGCACCGTGTACGGGCCGCTCGCGAGCTTCACATCGTGATCCAGGCGTCGGGCAATCAACGGCACTGGCGGATACATGCGCAGCGTTTCGAGAATGACGCGCTCCAGATACTTCATCTCCATGGTGTCGGCGAAGGTGCAGTCGCGCAGCATATTGTCGCCGAAGATGGCCTTCTGTTCGGCAAAGACGCGCTCCTGGACGTCCTTGTGTATGCCCATCATGCAGAGCGCAAAGCTGGAGCCCGCCGAGGTGGTGTCGTGACCCTCGAACATAATCGTGTTCACCTCATCCATGATGTCCTTCTCGTTCCATTCGATGTCCGGATTCTTGGCCATTTCCACCATCGCATCGAGCAGCGCCAGACGACGCTTGGCGCCCACATCGTTCTCATCGATGTCATCGAGATCATCGCGCAGTCCCTCCGTCTTGGTCGCCTGCTTGGCGGGCGTCGGCTCAGCGACATCCTCGATGATGGCGCGCGACTCGGGCGAGTAGTTCTCGTTGCGATCCTTGACCACCTTGCGCGTCATGCCCAGAATGATGTTCATCATGCGATCGCCCTTCTCGCGCAGCTTCGTGAACTTGTAGATCGAGTCCAGGCGATAGAGCAGCTTCACCTGCCGCGTGTGGATGATGTCGCACATATCGACCACGGCCTGGGCATACTCGAAACTCTTGTTGCCCTCGGGCAGCTTCTTGACGCCCATCGCTGTCGTCAGCAGAATGTCGACCGTCGTCTGGGACATGTAGTCGTGCACGTCGAAGGACTTGCCCGCCTCCTTGGCCATGCGGGCGGACACGGCCTTCGAGTGGGCGACGAACGTGGGCACGAAGCTCTTCAGGATGCTCTGATGGAAGGTGGGTGCGATCATCTTGCGATGATGGCGCCAATGGTGGCCGTTGCTGATCAGCAGACCATCCCCGAACCAGGGCTTAAAGTATCTATATTCCTCGGCCTTGGTCAAGTGCTGGTGTCCGCTCAAGATCAGCTCGATGTCATTGGGATTGGTGAGGAAGACGAGCAAGACATTGCCCAGCCAGCCCTTCATCGTCTCGCCGTACTTGTTCAGGTAGCCCAAGCCGACGGACAGAATCTCAGCGTTGCTCAAGCCGGCGGCCAAATGGGCCATGCCGATCAGCGGCAGCGACGGCGGCGACGGTATATTGGCCACCATGCGATATTCCCTGGTATTCCGATGCCAGTACTCGTAGAGGGCCATCACGATGATCGTGCCCAGCAAGCCCGTCAATATGGGCGAGAAGCCGCCGCTCGACTTCGCCGCCTGTTGCAGCGTCTCCTGCACCGTTTCCACAGACATCCTTTAGCTGTTGTCGTTCCTTTCTGGATTCTAGCTTCTGTCCTCCTTCTTCCTTGTCTTCGGCTGAATCTGAGTCGCTCACTTCTCAACTGTTCGGTTGCGCTGCGAGTGCTCAACTGTGTGGGGTCCCTCGCCGGGTTTGCTTAGTTATACTCGTCCATCGATAGATGGACTATGCGCGACGTCAACTTGACCTGCCCGCTTGATCCCATGCGGTCTAGAGTCTAGCCTTCCCCCTGCTCGAATTAAGCGTATGCCAATTACGCTCCATTTGCAAATCAAATGTGAGCGCATCCCTTGTGCTCCCCCCCTCTCAACAGTCGCTGCCGCTGCCTCTGCCTCTGTTTCTGCTTACACTTTTACTTAAACACTTGTTTCTTATTGCCCTTCCTTCTTCCTCTACTCTTTCGCTTTCAGCTTTTTGTCGAGCCTACGTGATCGCAGACATCGCGTGTCGCTGTGAACGATGTTTTGCTCACAACTAGAGATGAGCGCAAAATGTGCAATTTAGCTGCAGCTCTATCAGTTCTATCGATCAACTCATCGATCAATCTATCGATCTTCAAATATGTGCTATCAATATGGTTCATGCTGTTGGCTTAGTATTTTCGGATTAAAGTGAATCTACTGCAATTTAAAGCAAATTCAATGAGTACATCAAATCGATAATATTATCGATTTTCATGGACAATGTGAATTTAATAGTCAACTGCCTTTCAGTACTTAAAAACTCTCAGAGAGAAGTGAACCCGCCTCAAAAATATGTAAAGGCAATATACAGTAAATCGATAAGTTATCGATAGTTCAAAGGATAATAAAATTATTTGTTTCAATTGGTTAAATACCTCAAACTTTTCAGTAAAACACAGGCTGATCGGACTTTACTATGTATATAAGAAAATACAACAAATCGATAAATATATCGATTGTATTTGTTAATAAATTATTTGCAGGTGAAACACCTGTTATGATACAGGCCGAAGAGGATATCCATTAGCAGTAAGAGCAAAACATAGATAATTAAATTGAGTATATCGATAATATATCGATCACATTGCTGGTAGATCTACTTGGTTTGCTGAACTTAACTGTAATGGTGACCTTTTCAGAGCTATATAACAATGACAAATGGAATTTGGTTGGATAAATCTTGCTTACAGGGTATCTCTGTCTCTAGTCCTCAATTCATGCCGCATTCAATTGTCACGTGTCCTGAAGGACTCGCACACGTTCCATCTCTAGTTTCATACATTTCCGCAGGATGCGCTCGAGATGCTACCTCTGCCTCTCTCTCTCTCTCTCACACTCCCTCTCTCTGCCGGTTTCATATGCAAAGCGGCGATTACCTGTGCAAAAATCTACCTGCAACGGAAGTGGGTGATATATATATATATAATTTTTTTTTTCGTTCGTCTAAATTTCCTTGTTTATTATGATTTGTTCCTTCTATTGTTCACGAATTTTTGCTTTCGCTTTTCAGACAAATTCAATTTCAGCTTATTTTTCAGATATTTACTTATATATATGTACATATGCATATATATGCATGTGTATGTATGTGTGTGTGTGTTTTTGTATTTATTTTATTCGCTTTTGTTTTCAATGTAAACGGAACAATGCAGAGGAAGCTGTCGCTTTTAAAGGACTTGCTCCCTTGTTTACCTTTTGAGTCCCCCTCCCTCTGCCCTCGTCCTCTCTCTCCCTCACTCCCTCTCTATCTCGGTGTCTGTCTTAAGTGCTCTTCAGTTCTATTTATAGAAATTTTCGCTTATTTACATTTCCAGCTCATCTCCAGCCCAGCCTCAGCTATTCCATATCTCTAGAGATCTTGAGCCTAGAAATATGCTTTGATTTGCCGTTGTTGTTGTTGTACAGCTGAAAGCTAATTGGATTCTTATTTGATTTCTTTCATTCCAATTGGACTCTCATTAGATTAGATTAGATATATTCTATCTGCAGTGCCTATTAATAGGCTCCATTCAAGTAAAACAAACAAAAACATTTCAAAGTTCAAAAAACTTCAGAGTGTATATAAGTATATAATTGTATTACTTTCTAGCTTGACTTGTGAAATACTTGGAATTTATACATACATATATACATATATATTCGGAATATACGATCTTACCGAAATTTTCGGATCAACAAATTGTCTTTCTCTCATGGAGTATTACAGGAGTCAACCCAAAACTCAGCCGATTAAAAATTTTTACAAAAGCTCTATAAGCTATATAAGCTCTATATAAGCCTCTCACTAATACTAATGCAACAGCAGTAAGAGCAATTAGGACAGAATTAGGAGGCTTTTTCATATCATATCATATCATATAACCGAGATACGATATACATACATATACACTCTTTGAACTCTTACATATATATATATGTATATACCCTTCCTGTTCCTTAGCTAAAAATCTACTTCTATATAAATATCTAAATAAATTAAACACTTAATTATTTTATTTGATAGTTTTTATTTCACACAAAAAAATGCATTTGAGAAAATATTAAAAAAAAAAAAAGGCGAACAGAAAATAAAATGATATTGCGTCAGTTTTCCGTAGTTTCCACGGCTAAATTGAATGCGATGCAAAAGGTCGAGGTCTTAAAGTTAAATCGTGTTCTTTGTGTTTGTGTTTCATTTTGTTGTTGTTGTTTTCTTTTGATTTTGTTTTGATTCATTTCATGGACTTCACATACATAGAAAATAATAAATTAGGTAAATGAATGCATTTAAATATTGTGAACGCGATTTGGATTTGTATTTGGATTAATGCTAATTTCATGTACTCCCTATAAACACACATACATATATGTAGATGGGTATTATATATAGTCTAGAGTATACATATATGACTTTTTCTTTTCTTTCTTGTTTAAAAATGTTGGACACAGAAGCATGTGATTATGTCGTTATCATAATAATAATTATCATAGATTTAAAATATATATGTATACATACATATATATATAGATATACACATACATCTACTAGACTATTATTATGTATGGTTAATCTTCATCCTGATCTTCTATATCTGTTTGTTTTTAAACGGAATCTCATTACAAGCTAAAATTGTCTTTTATGAATTGTGTTGTGAATTTCACTCGAGGACGTAAAACCACAGAAGTTGCAGAATATATCGATAGTTATCGATATACACACGTATATATAGGTATCTTATGCATATACTTAATGGAACACACAGCATGGGGCAACGTTTTCGTACGTACAGTTATCGCGTATATATATATATATATATATATATATATATATATATATATATACAGTTCGAGTACATATTATATACAAAACAACATAAAATTAAAATAGGCACAAAAGATACTGAAAGGGACAGACTGCGTATAAGTGTGTGTGTGTGTGTGTGTGTGTATTCGTGTGCTTGTGTGTGTGAATGTGTATTTGCTCCGTGTTGTGTCTCCATTCGGCGCAGTCGTCTACGTTGTCTCATTTAGATGCGCACAATGTGCATCCTGCGTGAGCTGCGTCAGTTTCTGTGTAAACGTTGGAATGTCCTGAAAAGAAAAGAAAATTGCATATTATTAGGAGAAGAGGGAGTCCCTATCTAACATATGCAACATCTACCCAACTTCTATATATTCATAAATAATAATAAATACTTATTGTTAAAGCTAATATATATATAACCAAGCTCTTCTAGTTTTCGTCTCTTCTCATATATTGATATATATGGTAATTATATAAGAGATATTTTCTAGGAACTATCTACTTCTAATGATCTTTGGGTATAGCCTTAAAAGCGAGCTGCTCAAATTGATATTCAAAGAGCTAGTATAGATTATATACGAGTACTACATGATATCTAAAGATAGATATTATATGTAGTACCAGTATATTAACTATATTTATATCTTATAGATTATCTAATGATACTACATATATAGAATTAGAATTCCGATTATAGATCATCTAATAATAATATATATATATACAGTAGAATCTGGATAATTCGTATTGGCAAGGGGTTCAGTTTTTTTTTTCGATTTACACAGAAATTCATATTATCGAGAATTATCGATAGTGAATTCCGTTTAAAGGGTTAGAATTTTTTCTCGATTTATCGCGATTTTCGATTTAGCGGGGTACAAATTATCGGGACTCGACTATACATCTCTTTAACAATCAATTTGAAGCACTCGCAACAGTTATATCTATGATAAATATCAGCTAGATAACAACAGAATATCTATAGCAGTTCACAAACTATTCTGAAGCATATACAAAATATATACATATTGCTCAATCTAAATCGAATCTTAACACAAGATCTATAAAGCTAAACGTACAGTTGTCTGGCATATATCCTCGAGCGTTGATTGCGCCACGGGCAGCGTCGCATTGACAAAACTCTCGAGCAGCTGGCGACGATCCACCTGGCCCATGGCGAACAGTGCCTGGGCAATCAGATCAAAGTGTAGTGCACCCTCGCCGCTCAACAGCAGATTGAGCAGCGCACGCTGGAACGAGGCCAAGAGCTGCTCCTTGAACAGGGCACGCTGATACAGGCGACTACGCTCGTTCACATTCTGCATGGAGACGAGCACGCTGCGCACATTGCTGGGATCTGTGCCGCTGACCAGCATCTGGCCGTACGCATTCATGATGGCCATAAAGTGTTCCGGTTGCAGGTTGTCACTGCAGTTGAAATTGTTGGGCTGCTGACCATTCGCATGGCCGTTGCCATGGCCATTGCTCAGCTGATTCTTATAGAAGAATTGCCATTTACAGGTGAGCACGCTAAGGTGAGGATGAGACGGAAATCATAGATGATGAACATTATAGAGAGAGAGCAGCTAATTCTCACAAAGCTCACCTGTCGAAGAGCGCAAAGAGCAGGCTGGTTATTTCGCTACTATCGGTGGCTGCGTTCTGCTGCTGCAGCAGCGGAAGTATTTGCTGTGTGCTGAAGCCCAAAATGCTGGGCATCAGCGATAAGGAAGCATTGCCCGGCTGTTCGACGACCAATTGAAACATCTGCAACACCTTCTCCATGACGGCCAAGCGGCTGAGCGTTAACTGCTCCCTGAAACAGACAGAGAACATCATTTAGACAGAGATGGCTATAGTTGGTGTATATCTATATAGATGTATATGCACCTGCTGCTGACATCGATAAACAGCGTGATCATCTCCTTGATGAACTGTGCTCCCAAATGCATGGGCAGAGTGCGCAGCATACTCAGGCTGAACTCGGCCACGGTGATGGCCATGGCAATGCTGCTCAGGCCGTAGCTATTGAAGATCACCAGCGCTTTGTTTAATATGGGCTGCAGACAGAGAGTGAGAGAGATAGATATATTATTTAAATAAAGAGAAGATTAATAGTATGATTGAGGTTTGTATTTTGGAAGATTAAGGAAACTTATGGCAGTTTATATTAAGGCTATGAAGTTCATACAGAAAGAAGGAGGGATATGGAGCGAAAGAGATAGATAGAGAGAGGGAGAGTGAAAGAGATAGAGAGAGAGAGCTATTCTGGGCAAAAGTAGGCGCTTTCTATTACTATTTTCTAGGCTAATCAAAGTTTACTCAGCTCACAAAACCCAAATGAAAACCTTGTGGATTCAAGCTCTACTATTTGAGACAAAATAACCCTACTAAATAATACAGATCTAGATAACAATCAATTGAATTCATGTTCGATACAGCTCACATTAATATCTAGATGCAATTGTAAGTAGTTGAAAATATATAAAGTAGAAGAGGAAAGCGGGAAGTGGGAATACAAATGTAAAAATATAAAAGTAGATTGATTATTTATAGACCTACAGATAATAGAACATGGCTTTAGAGATGTATAGCTAAGAGATGTATAACTAATGCATAAATAAACCTTCTATTAAAAATCCTCTTGTAAAAGTGGAAACTTTCAGCTAAGTAAAAACTTTACAGCAAAACAAGAATAAATATAAAATGGAAGAGGAATAGAGGAGTGGGAATATAAATATAAGAATATACAAAATGCTATATGGTTTCAGAGACGTATATCTAATACATAAATAAGCCCTGTAGAACCTGAAGCTAAGACAAAACTTCGCAACAAAACAACAAATTAGCCAAGGAACTAAACTTTTTCCTACACACTTATCAGGAATATATGCATACAAAATTGTCTTTATCTATATAAAAAATCTATGTATATCTATCTTTATCTATATGTGGAACAAATTTATAAAGGAACTAAACTTGTTTCCACACACTTATCAGGAATATATGCATACAGAATTTTCTTTATCTATATACAAAAATCTATATCTATCTTTATCTATATATAAAATCGAAAACTTTGCAGAAAATCAACAAAAAAATGATAGAGGAACTATACTTGCTTCTACACACTCTTAAAGAATATATGCATACAAAATTGTCTATCTATATATAAAAACAATATCTATCTTTATCTATATATAAAACAAATTGATTAAGGAACTAAACTTGTTTCCCTATAGTTTTCAGCAATATATGCATACAAAATGATCTTATCTATATATAAAATCTGTCTAACTTTATCTATAAAACTTTGCAGCAAAACAACAACAAATTGATAAAGGAACTAGATCTGTTTCTATACACTCTTCAAGAATATATGTATATAAAATTGTCTTTATCTATATATAAGAACTATATCTATCTTTATCTATATATAAAACATTGCAGCAAAACAACAAATTAGTCAAGGAACTAGCCTTGTTTCTACACACTCTTCAGGAATATATGCATACTGCATATCTTTATATCCATATATATATATATCTATATTCTAGCTGTTTTGCTGCACCCCTTCGTGTGCTCACCTTGAAGGTGCTCGCAAGTAGGTCCTTGGCCGTTGCACCCGTCGCCTTGAAGTAGTCGATGAGCGCCGTAAACGTGCCCAACAGGCTGAGCGTGGTGGCCGCCACTTTGCTCTCGCCGGCTGCCGGTAGATCCAGTTCCTGGAAATTCCTGGATAATGCACCAATATACTCGCGCAGCATCCATTGGCGACGCGGATAGTCCTGCTGCTGTTCGGGCACGTTCTTCCACGGCATCACCATGTAGCTGACCAGGCTGATGTGGACATTGATGCACACTTGGCGTGGCAGCTGGCCGCCGAGTCGCGGCCCCGCCTGCATTAGGCTCTGGATCTCGGGTATATCCAATAGACATTTGGGTCGTATCACAGTCGCTATGAAGAGCAGCACCTCGCTCGCCGCCTGCTGCACTATGGGCGAGGCAGCCGACGGCGAGGCATTGCCCGCAAATATGCTGCCCAATATGGCAAACAAGCGATGCAGCAGCTGCTCGCTGTTCAGGGACTTGGACATCGGAAAGATGCTGCGTATGGCCAGTAGAACTTGTGCATAGCTATCGGGATATCAATGGTATGGGTATATATTAGATTTGCTATTCGATTGGACCGGCTCTGGCTAACCTACAGATTATCCAAGTCCATTTGAAAGCTCGCCTTCTCCGAGTCGCTGCCGCCGACTCGATTGCTCGCCAACAGCTGCAGCGTCTGCAGCAAACGATCGGAGAGCACATGCAACTGCCGCTCCATCTCATCGACGACATCCGCGGGCGCCTGTGCCGTGTCCATTAATGGAGCTAATCGTACCACCGCCTGGCAAACGGTGGCAAAGTCTCTCAATATCTCACCCACATTGGCGAGCTTCAGTTTGCGTGCTGCCTCATAGCACCGACCGCTGCCATGATCCAGCGCCAGCTCCAGCGACAGCAGATACGTCTGTGGGCGTGACCAGTGGGCGAAGACCTGAGCGAAGACGATGTGGGCGCCGCGTGTTGTCGCCAGCAGGGCCAGGCACTCGAAGCACTGGTCCAGAAACTGTTGCCATTCCGTTGTGGGCGTCTGCGAATGCAAAATAAATCAATTAATCGATAAACGTATATCGATTGATATACGATTGAATTTCAACTTATTTACAAGTGTGTAACATCCGTGAAATTTTGAATCTAAATCTTCTTCAGCTAACAAACTTAATATTACGAAGTTTCGATAACTTGATATCGAAATGTATTGCTTAAGACAAATAATCGATAAAAGCGCTTTAAAGCTAATTCGAGTCAGAAGCTCAAGAACCAGATTTGAGCAGATTTGATTATGTTGGCTAACTAATGGGGGAATAAGCTATCGATTAATATTGATATGATACGATTCTATACCCATTTAAAACAAGATTCTAAATCTATTCATCTAACCTCAACCGTGAACCACATAGTAAAAAGTATAAATCTTTACTCACTATTCCGAACTACATGACTAAATTTTGAGTAAGCTATGAGTAAATATATAGAACTATACATATATGTAGTATATACTCCACTCTACTATATAGACAGTTCAATTAACAGTTCACAATTGTGGTTTATAGACAATGCACATTTGCTGCCTGACCTCCCATACTATTGCTTATAGTAAGCTAATAACTCTCAACTAAATCTCTTCTAGCTGCATCTCTCTTGTATATATATATATATTATGTATAGTTGATTTAGTTACGCACATCATCCTCCATTAGCTCATTGTCGAGTAGCTCCAGTTCGGGCTTATTGATTTCGAACTGTGTACGCCGCATTATCTCATCGACTAGCTTCGTCATAATCTCGCCATGATGAGCACTCAATTGCGTTGGCTGCTCGGCAATGCCCTTGATGATGGGTGTCCAGATGTCCAGTTTTTCGGTAAAGTCCAGAGCGCCATGCACTATCAAAGCAGACAAAAAGAAAGTACAAATAAGAAATCAATCAAGAGAGAGAGTGGGCGTGTCCGATATTCACTCACATTTGGTGGTGCACCGATAGAGCTGATCGAGAAATGAGTCAAGCATTTCCGGTTCCTGCATCATTTTGCCCGCATATTTGGTGCTATACAGGCGCAACAGTTCGCGGAACTTATCGCTATACATTTCGCTCTGGTGCTTGACGCTGTTGTGCTGTTCCAGCAGTCCGCTGACTCCGTTCATTAGGGTGAACGCGAAGGGCAGCGGCTTCTGCAGATAGAGCAGCTCATTCAGCACTGAGAGTGCGCCCAGCGAGATGTTCTCGTTCGCCTGGCGCCACTGCGATAAATCGAGTATGCTCATTAGGAAGTATTCAGAGATCAGATCGGTGCGTATCCAGGAGACCAAATGCTGCACACAGCTCAGCAGCTCCAGCACTGAGGAACTGCAAGAATCAAAGAAAAAAGATAACACCGAGTATTAATGATGGTGTTTCAATTGGGGGTATTCCTTGAGCTGGTTGTGCTTCAAGTGTTGTGATTATCTGAGGGGTATTCCTTAAGCTTATTGTCTTCCGATTGTTGGCCTGCCTAACACATTTTAATTTGATCAAAAATCTTAGCTTTTGATATCTATTATCACAGAATGCGGCTTTCGAAATATTTTTGTGGAAAATCATATATTTTCTATTATCTATATTATTACTATCTATATTAATATATTATTATCATGTATTATTTTCTATTCATAGTCACTTCTTTATCAAAGGATTTAGGGTGTGCTTTGAGTGGGTAATCGGGGGTTATCTATAGCTTTTACTAACTCCCTTGAATTTGTTTACTAAATGAGGAGCAAGAGATTCATTAATTATTAATTAATTATCATTATTTTAGTAAAATTTTAACCGAATGTATAAAATATGGCTTAAAATATTAACCGATAACTTTAGACAAGCTAGACACCTGTTGCTTATCGATAACTTTCGAAGAGGAACACACAATGGAGTTCCATATAAATCTAAGCTTATCCGAGAATATTTCTTAGCTCAAATCTATTACAAATCGGTTAAAAACCTGCAAAGCTATGATGCCTTAGTTATCGATAACGTAAACTAACATTCATTGCTTCAGAAAAGACTTCTCTAACTTAGGGATAACAGACCGAATTGGGATCGAGGCAGGACCCTTAATTAGTTGTTAATCACGTTTTCGCATACCTTAGTTGGTTATCATTTGGCAGCGCTGCAGTCAGACTGTAGTCCATGAATGTGCTTGGTATGGTCGTATGAATGTCTTTGCCATTGATGTAACAAACGGCGATCAACAGATATTTGGTGAGCAGGTCCAAAACATCGGGTATACACATGGAAATGCTGCACAGAGCAAACATGGGGTAGACCACCACACAAAGAGAGAGGGGGAAATGTTTAACAGTAGTTATTGAATCACATGCAAGAATTGACACATTATTTATAGAGCAGCGGGCTTACCACGAGTGAAAATATTGCTTCCATTCGCTGGTGAGGTCGCCGCGATTGCTGACCACCTCCTCGGAGGTGACGCGCAACAGATTGATGCCAAGACTAAATCGTGTCTTGGTTAGCTCCATGCAGTGTTGCATATAATTCGGATCCTGTTCCGGGAATTCCCTTTTGCCAAGCAGCGCAATCAGTTGGGCGAGCGTATCGCGATGCCGGCGTGCGCCGGTGAGCACCATAAGCTGGGCATAGTGCTGCCACAGGGTCTCCCTCAATAGTGTGCGATCTGCCGCCGTTAGTTGTGTCCAGCGGCGCGTTATCGTGTGCTCCAGCGTCGAGGTGCTGAAGAACCAAAGGAATTGATTCTCTGTGAAACTATTGGTGGCGGTCGCAACACGCAGGCACAGCTGCCAGGCCTCCGGCTGTGACTTGAATGCCAGCAAATTGGTCTCAATTTCGCGTTTGCGGGCATTGCTCGTCGTCGGCTGGTAGAACTCATTCAGCAGCACCTCCACCGACGTCATCGATGCGGCATGCTGCACGGATGACGCATTGCATTAGTATCGCGCCTATTATGTATTGCACATTGAGGACAGCCAATCCGTTGACTTTTCCCCGTTGTACTCATTTTTCGCTCTAATTTTTTACATTTTTTTTCTTGCATATTTTTTTCAACATTTTTTTTTTACTACTTTTTTCGCAAATACTTTTTTCTTTTTTGCTGGGGTACTTTCATCGGAGTGGTTGGCCTTAGCGGACGGAGACTTACCATTTTGCAGGCGATTGCTGAGTGTGCGTGCAATGTGTGAATTTCGATTTTGTGCTTGGTGCTAGCGTTGATATGTGCTTGGTGTGCATTAGCAATTGTTTGACGTAAAGTTCATGATTTTTAATTCAAATTTATTTTTGAGTTTTTTATCAATTTTCTTTGTGTATATACGACTTGCACATATCGGCAGCGTTGCCAGTGCAATGAGAGCGTTGCCACATAGCCAATATGTCATGCACTTAACAGAGCTGCTCCCAGTTCAAATAACGTATGTTAGTATGTTGCCTAACGGTGCGGTGATCAGAATTTAAGTTAATTAAAACATCAATAAATATGTTCTGGCGAAAATGCATATACCATTTAATTCATATCAAGAAACCGCTGCGATTATTCATCTTTTGATTTCAAACATATGTTGTGAGCTGCATACCAGTTTTACCAGCAGGGACGATTTTTAGTTTGGCTAATTTGAAATTTAACAGTTATCGAATATCAGTTTCGTATCGATTAATATTTACAACATAACAGCTGGAAAGCCGAAGACGACAGCCAGCTAGCCAGAAACGGGAGAAATTGAAAGAAAACGGATGGAGCGATAGCAAACGCAGTGAATTTCATAGATAATTAGATAATAATTAAACAGTTGTCGCTGTCGAATAAGTAAGCGAAAAAACCAACAACAGCAACCGTAAAAAAATGCACAGGCGTTTGGTGCATACAACAATGTGTAGACGTATCGAAGCGTAAAAATCAAAGGCGGCGCCAGCCACACGAACAACACAATAAAAACGGAGAAACCATAATAAAAGGTATCCCCTCATGGCCAAATGAAATGCATACATTTTTGTTAGCGAAATACTACAAATTGCACTGTAACTATTTATTAGCAAAAGGTCGTGCAATTAAATATAATTGTGTCTGTGTGCGTGAGTATGTGCTGTTTAGGGTGCCACACACAGACTGTAACAATAATAACAACATACAATAATTGGGAAACAGCCGTTAAAGGTTAAGAAGATCGCTGCGCTCCTTTGTATGAAATTCTAACTGTAGTTAGTATTGGTGCGTTGCCTACTGTCTTCAAAAGTTTGGTCATCCTACGCCCAATATTGCTCTTACGTATGCACATTGTACATATGTATGTATATGTGCATATAAATACATACATATATAGATGTGTGTGTGTGTAGGCAGCCCTTGCAGTTTTGTTGTGCCTTCTGACTGTGTTGCTCTCCACTCGCGCTCTTTAACTATATATTTCATTCTCTCTCTCCCTTTCTCTCTCGCTCGCTTGCTCCAAGTGTGTTTCGCACAACGCCAAAATAGCCGTTTCAGTTTAGTTTAGCATTTGTTATATTTGCTTTTTCCATTATTTTGTTGTTTTTGGCGTTTGACGTTTGGTTTCTATACTCAATAATTGCAGGCCCATCCGTCGACATGTTGGGTGTACAGTTCAAAGGGTGTGTATGTATGCGTGTATGTGTATCCTTGCTATTATCTTTCTATATTGTGCCTACTCTGATTCCGATAATAAATAATTAATTAAAGATAATATAAAATTAAAACTGACTTATAGAGCTACAGAGTCCTTCGGCTTCACGGTTCCGATATGCTGATGCGAGTTCTTTGCGAACAGTTTGATTACGGCCATAATTGATATTAAAAGCTGTTATACAGAATGTGTCATTTCTTCGGTTGCTTATGTATTTACATACATATGTGTGTTTGTATGCGTTTGTGTGTCTATGTTTTCTTGTTTTTGTCTGCTCTCCTTCTACTACGCACTTTGCTTTTCGCATGCTTATTGCGTTGTGTTTATGATTTCTTTTCTTTTGCCTTTGCTTTTGCGTTTTAAATCTTATCAGCAGCAACGGAAATGTTACACACACTAATACATGCGCAAAAACAACCACACACACGGGTGTATGTATGTGTGCAGGCTTTGGCGTCTGAAAGCTTTTACAAACATTTTGTTTATTTACATATTTTAATTTTATTTTTCTTCACCATTTTTAATTGTTGTTGGCCTTAGCCCATATTGGCCAACCCACCGCTAGCCCATATTATGCCTCCACACCCTTTCCCCTCCCTGCCCTTTACTTTATTTTCGCTTGCCTCATTATGCACTTGGGTAGACTTTAATGCGCAGTCAATGACCGTGTGGCTCGAGGGCTGCTTTGTGTGTGGAGTGGGGGAGTGAGAGAGAAAGATAGAGTAAGCGTGTGAGGGGAACCGGGGATTTCTAAAGAGAGTGGTTAGTGTATAGGAGCAAACACCTTCTTGAAAATTCACAAATTGCTGTGTGCTTAGAAGAACTTTGTTGTGCATACAGTTTTATACCACTGTGTGCACAGGCACACACGCAACACAACACAGGTGTGCATGTATGTATGTACATATATGCATGCGTTTGACCCCGTTAGTTTCACACTTAAATCAATTTCCCTTTGCAGTTGGGTTGCCTAGCTTCAAATGTGAAGTCCATACTTGAGCTGGACTGGAACTGAGCTTTGGAAGGGCTTTTTTTTTTTTTTTGTATATGTGGGTGTCGGCGTCGGTGTGTTTGTGTTGAGGGAGAGGATTAGTGGAAAGCCAGGGCACACACTGACTTGTGCGTCATAGCGAATAAGCACGAAATGCTTGTTGGCAAATGAAGGGCATTGAAAGCTTCGGCGTTGCCCGACTGTCTCATGCGCTTCACAACTCTGAGAGTGTGTGTGAGATTGTGAGTGTGTCTGTGTTGCATTTAGCGTCGTGTGTGCTTTACAGCTGCTGTCCTTGATTATAGCTTTTCTTTGCTTGGCAGAATTGTGGGGACTGGTTGCTGTTGTTGTTATTGTTGCTTCCTCTGCTTCGGCTGACTCTTTCGCCTAATATTGTTTGCACAGTTTTGTTATTGCTGTCGTTGTTGTTGCTGCTGGTTGGCTTTGGCTCTCGCTTTGTTAGTATGATTTTCTTTGTACATGTGCTTTGTGGGAGCCTCTCTCGTACGCGCTCTCCCTCTCTTGTCCGCTCGGTCTGCTCGCTAGCAGGTTAGCGCGTTACGTTCGCTCTCGCTCTGACGTTCGCATTAGCCTCGGCTGCTCTGTTTTATCTGCACTCTTTTTTTATACTCTCTCTCCCTGTCTGTCTGTTGCTGTGGCTCTGTTGTGCGCGAGTTCTCTCCCTTGTAGTCGCTGCCTCTGCCGCTGCCGCTGCCGCTGCCTCTGCTTTTGCTGCTGCTTCTTATGCTGCTTTCAGATGTTCGTGCGCTGCTCGCTGGGGGCTTCCAAACTCTGTTGTCAGTTAATTTTCAGTAACTAGTTGAAGTAGACAACACAAAAAAAAAAAAAAAAAAAAACATCTATCTAAATACAAAACAAGAGCAATATCAAATTAACGGCCAAAGGTGCACAAAGAGAAGGAACGCAGCCAATAACAAATACGACCACAAAACAACAACAAAACGGCAGCAAAAAAAAAGTAAAGCAATACCACAAAATATAAATAAATAAAACAAAAGACAAAGCAAAGCAAATGAAAAAATAAAATAACAACACGAGTCTGTTATCTATTACATGTGTGCGTGTGCGTGTTTTTTGTTGAAATTGTTTTCAAAAAGTTTCGTAATTATCTGAAAATGCAATACAACAAGAAAAAAGCAGTCAGCTGCGTGTGTTTATGAGTGTGCGTGCGCATTTGTGTGTGTGTGTGTGTCTGTGTTTGTCAGTTGTTGGTGTGTTGTTCACAGAATATTGAGAGAAAGCATGCACACAACAATTTAATTTTCATTTCATTTTCCCATTTGCTGTCTTTGCTATTCTTCTTTGCTTTCAATTTTGCGTGATTTTAAATGTATTAATGTATATAATCAAAAATATGTACATACATATATCCCCATATACAAAGGTATTTGTGTGCGTATACACATACACATGTGCCAACATTATTAGACAGTGAACAATAAGCAAAGCAAAAGAAGAAAGAGAAATAAAAACAACAATAACGTGCACATATGTATGGCTGCTGTTGTTGTTGTTGTCTTGAACGAAAATTGCAGCTGAGTGTCATTTGGTTGTCAACATTGCGTTGTTGTTATTGCTGTTGATCTTCCAGAGAGAGAGAGAGAGAGAGAGAGAGAGAGAGCGTGGGCTTTACACTCACAGGCTCAAACGCGCTCTCGTGCGCACTCACACACTTATACAGAAACACATGCATGCTCAGCTCTCAGCTGAGACGCAGCAACAACAAACAAAACGCTGAAATCTAACGCAAATAACAACAGTGAACTCCTCTCCCCGCTCCGTGTGCATGTATGTATGCGTGTGTGTGTGTGTGTGGCTGTGTACAATAGTATTTATGCATAGGTGTGTATATATCAACAAAAACCCGTACAGTGAAACTTGGCAAAACTCAATAGCAAAGCAAAAAGTGACCAAAAACCATTTCCAATTGATGAGCTTCACTGTAGCCAGTGTGTACACAAACATCACATCAGCACAAGGGAGACGGAAATAACGACACAGGGCCAGCTGGCGAGACAGAGTAGGCGAGCACGAATTGAATTAGCTCATCCAAAAGAGAACAGCTTGTTGACCAGTGAACAGTGTGTGTTGACAGTTAATCGTCCGTTTGACACATTTGTTTTTCGAGCAGTTCAGGAAAATTGAGAAATAATTTGATAAATTTCTAACCAGATACAGTGAATTCGCCTGCAGTGAAACGTGAAACGTACACAAAAAGCAATTAATTGCAATTGCAAGTATTTGGTAAACGACGTATTAATTTCATTCAAAATAATATGCATATTCAAATTACATCTTAAAACATTGGAATTGGTGAAACCTTTTGTGCATCTGTTTGTGGATGTGGAATATATAGCTAATGGCATCGTCATGCCCAAAGCTATTCTATAAATATTACTCATACGCAGTTGGTTGACTCAACACGCTTAAGAAAAGAAAAAAACAAATTAGAAATATGAAATGGATACATATGTATTTATATATACATATATAAACATATACGCCATACTAAGCAAAAATGTTGCGTTTTACAATGGCTGTGCGCACTGTATGCTCTTTACTAAGGGGGTTGCTGCTAACACTTCACTCTCTTTTTTTTATGTTGTCTGTTCTTTTTTTTTTTTTTTTTTTTTTTTTTTTGTTATATTCTCATTCGCTCGCTCTCGTTTGTCAGCCAGCCAATAACATTAAACAGCTGAGCTTGTTTGGAAACAACAGCCGCCCGCCCATCCAAGTGAGGCGCGTCATCAACAAAATAGCCTGGAAGAAGGAGAAGGATTGAGGGGGATGATAGAGACAGATGACAAAACAATCAAAGCAAAACAGTTTCAATTGTTGCAAAGAGCTCTGGGTGCGGAAATTACTTTAGCATTGGAAGGGCAAACAGTAAGCGAGCACGCAATTACAGTTGAAGAATTGAAGCGCTTCCCATTTCATTCCACATTCGCTCAGACTCTGGAAAGTATGCAAAAAAAAAAGAAGGAAAAAAAATAGTACCGTTAATGCATGCTTGTCCTTGATGGCATACTCGTTTTTACTGGTGTTGCTTATGGCAACTGCAGTGCTCTCACCAACCGCAGCCCCTTTCACACAGAAGTGATGATGTGTAAATAGAGTGTAGATGTGTGTGTGTGTGTGAGTGCGCGAGTGTGAGTGTGCGTGTTTAAGAAAGCAAGAAGGCAGGCAGGCAGACAGGAGAGCCCGATGGCGCGACGTCACAGTTTACTGTTGCTGTTGTTGTTGCTGTTGCTGTTGCTTCTAGTGCTGCAACTGCGCTGCTAACTGCGCCGTTGACATAGTTTCATTTGAATTTAGGCTGTGCGAGCGAGATGGCCAACAAGTTTGTCATACTGGGCTCAGTTGACCTACATTTGGGCAAAGATGTGGCTGCAGCAGCAACAGGGGCAGCAGCAGCATCATCTCTCATGGTCAACCCCATGTTGATAGCATTGATAAGGATAACTGAGACATGCACATAAATAACGCTGATAATTGATATTTGATTTCATTTGCAGAGAGACAGCAGACAGCAGCAGCTGGAGCTACTGGTGGATCGCCGCAACTCCGGATTATTGTTTTTGATGTGTGCCTTGGCCAGGGGAGCAGCAATACAGTCAAATAGCAATAGTTATAATAACAACATTAGCAATAATATCAACGGCAACCACTGCAACCACAAATAGCAACAACAATCACCGCTTCAGCCTTAGCGTATACAACGAGCGCACCGTGTCCTCAGTGTCATAGAGCCCCACATCCAAAACAAAAACAAACAACCACAGACAACAGCAATAACAACAAAAGCAAAATGTCATCACCCAGCGCTGGTAAACGCCGCATGGACAATGACGTCATCAAACTAATCGAATCAAAACACGAGGTCACGATCCTTGGTGGCCTTAACGAATTCCATGTGAAGTTCTTTGGGCCAACTGGCACACCCTACGAGGGCGGCGTTTGGAAGGTGCGCGTCTATCTGCCCGACAACTATCCATTCAAATCACCAAGTATTGGATTTGTCAATAAGATCTATCATCCCAATATTGACGAATCATCGGGCACCGTTTGCCTGGATGTGATCAATCAAGCCTGGACGGCATTGTACGATCTATCGAATATATTTGAATCGTTCTTGCCACAACTGCTCACATATCCAAATCCAGTCGATCCATTGAATCGAGATGCGGCCGCCCTCTATCTGCACGAGCCGGAGGAATATCATCGCAAGGTCGCCGACTATGTGCAGCGGTATGCGACCGAGGATGCGCTGCGAGCAGCGCAACAGGAGCGCGAGAGCAGCGACAGCGAGTCCAGCATGTCCGACTACAGTGAGGACGAGGCCCGTGATATGGAATTATAATATCGGTTTAAATATATTATCGAAACAACTAAAACAATAGTAGCAGCAGCCCTACTAGCTGCTGTCTAAAAAATGCCTCGATTTGAACTAGATCAGATCGCCACGATATACAAAAAAAAAAAAACAACAAAATACAATTGAACAACACAAACAGACACATATACACAAACACACACCCATACACAAACACACACACATACATATATATGTATCTATCTATATATATATATGTATGTATACACATAACAAATGAACGTGATTCGATGGACATACTTATAAATATAATATATATATGATCTAAAACCTTATATATGTATATTAATGTGTAAGCAACAAAAAGTTTGAAACAATTCTTAGTAATATAGCAATTATATAGTAGCTGACAAATCGAGTATAATACAAAGGAGAAAAACAAGAGAAGGGCAGACCGAAAGCAAGAAACGATAATAATTTTGGATGGACAAGAGTTACCGATTGCATTGCAAATCCAATAAACGTACATAACTTAGAGAAATAACAGAAAATCACATACACGATATATATATATTTATATATGTGTGCCGTCATGACTATATAGTTAGCTGTATATACCCCATATAAATATATATATCCACAAGCATATATATATATATATATATTTACATAAACATGGACAACTGTTTTACTTGTCAGCTGCTTAGGCTACTGACACATTTAAGCAGAATTAACACAGCACATCCAACTTCCGCCCACCTGTCACACGCCCCCACGCCCCTCGCCCACGCCCTCGCACACTCTTGGACTATGTTGAGCCGCAGACCGCCCGCCAATGCATTCAATCAAACTTTACTTGAATTTTCTTGTTTTTCATTTTATTTTATTTTTTTGTTTTTAGTTCTAATTTTAATTTCGTAATTATGACGCAGCTCTTATTTGTTAAATGCTTAAATATAAACAAACAAACCGAAACTAAGCTTAGGTTACAAAGTTGTTAATGTAAAACTTTTATATATATATAAAGCCCCCCACACCTACACACACACACATGTGCATACAGCTGCGGTCACTAGATTAGTACCACTAAATGTTTGACTAAGAAACTTAGTGATAAAAATAATATCAAACATCTAAATGAATAACGGTATATGTTCAACTTAATATTCGTTTCAAATTGCTTGAAAAGTAGTACTATTCGAATGACCGCGGCTGTATACCTTTATATATTTCTATATATAAATATACATAAAACTAGGTTGCCAATTAATCGTGTGTTTCAACAAGAGCAAAATTTATTATATATTTATTAAAGAAAGGAAAACAAAAGCAAAGCGAAGATTACAGATTTTTAAATTCATTGTTTAAGCTAGTTAAACATTTCGTTTCGAAAACTCGTGCGTCTTGTCCTGTTTTTCTTTTTTTTTTTTTTTTTTTTGTTTAAGTTTTAAAGTTGGAACAGTACAGAAATAAAGCTAAATTAAGTCTTAAAGAGATAATACAGAAATGAAAATAAAAAGAAATAAATATATATATATATATACAACAACAAAAATGAAGGAAAAACTAAAACCAATTAATTAATGTTTAATGAAAAGCGTAGAGTTGTGTATTCTAGTTAACTTAGAGAGTTCAATAATATAAAATAATAATAATAAAAACAACAAACTAAACAAAACTAAATACAGCAATTGACGATTTTGCAGATATGTATGATATATCAGGTTAGCAGCCTCCCTTTAAGCATTTCTTATACTCATTCATGAAGTCAAAAGGGTATACTGGTTCAACTGGATGTACGCCCTAGCGTCCGCTCGGTCATCTGAATTTAAAGCTAGATACTATTGAGAAATTGAGGAATTTTGGCATACGCTCGACTTATAAAGAGTTATATTGCCATTATTACTTAAGGTGTTAAAGACTTGATATGTGGAATACAATATAATCGAGATCAACAAAAGCAATATACCCATTTTCAATGTGCTCAGGGTAGAAACATATCGTGCATAGGTCTATGCCCATTGGGGGCATATCAAATCAATAAAAGATATATCCTCCAATGTTTTGGAGCTAGAGTTCCAAAATGGGACAATTAAGTGAAGTGTCCTATCTGAAGATTTCTATCTGACTCGACAACCAAAACGGTGTCAATTGCTTTTGAATCGTGAATGAGTATCATGCGGTCGGTAGCGCCTGACTTGAACAGTTTTACTTGCTCTCTCTTTTTCTCATTTTTTTTCGGATTTTCTATACTCATCTCTCTTACTAAAACTCCATAGAAGAACAGTTCGTTTATGATTTTATCTGTTGTGTTCTGTTCTCGCCAAGATAGCGCCCCAAAATGTCATTGCAAACAGAGTTACCAGAGCCTAAAAAGTCATCTTCTATAGGAAAAAGGTTTTATGGGAGATGCACTTCTATCTTTGGAAGACAATCAAAGATCGAGATTTACCTTAATTCTATACTACAATATTTGTAAGAAAAATGTTGCGGAATTTGCTGACAGACATTGAGCAACAATGATTTACTTTCTGTTGACAAAACTTCATTGGCAATAACAGGTACGACAGATAATCGATCCATGTTGAAAAAAAGCATTCAATGCGCACTAATTGTGTTTAGGAATCAAAGAAGAAACTGGTTTTATTCCTAGTTTTTTTATTACGATTTAAAAGTTTATTTGAAAGCTAAGACAGAATGAAAGACACTCAAGTCATTCAATGCATGCCTAAATTCCTTATGACTTGGTCTTCCCAGCCCTTATGACTTGAAAATCCATTGGTATTCCCACTCTTATTTTCACTGACTCCATAGTAGGGAACATTATTTGGCGGTGTGATGGTGGCTTTCCGCACTCTGAATATGAGCTGGCATTTCCAGCTCCAGCTCCAGCTACAGACTCGGACCTGAAATGTAGAGTTCATTGAATGGCCGCCATTTCGCCCTGACCTTAATATCATAGAGAATGTCTGGGTATAGTTGGTGTACGAATGCAAAACAGGTAAAAAAAAACTTTAGTCGGGTCTGTCCGACTAGGCGATACCCTGCACCTCAACCGATCTGCACACGCAGTTAAAGTTGTCGTACTCGCAAACCGATCTGTATGTATTTAGTTAAGCAGTGTAAACATATCAAAATATTCGACTAATAAAAACACGTTGCTCGCAACGTAAATGTTTGTCGAAATGAAATGGATAGAAAAAATAGCCGGCATCGTCAGGAAGTTGGCACCGCTTCGACTTCACGCTTGTAAAAAATAAAAATAACAGCGACAGGAAGTGAGCCCACACCGACTCGACGACGCTCATCGCCTCTACCAGCGCCGCCACTTTGCAACACGAATTCGGAAAATTGCAGACTCTAGCTGATATATGTAGCTGCTGAGATGAATGCATTTTTACATACGGACGGAGGGACTGATGGACGTATGAATGAACGAACGGATGGACGGGCGGATGGATGAACGGATAGGCAGACAGGCGGAGGAATGGATGAACGTACGAATGGACACACGGACGGAAGGAAAGGCGGACAAACAGACGGACATATAAGCTAACGGACAGGCGGCCGAACGACAGATGGAATGATTGACGGACGTACGGGCGTACAACCAGATAGAGTGATAGACGGACAGACGGACGTATGAAACAGATATACGCGCGATCGAGTGAGGGGACATCGACTGATCAACAGGCAGACGGACTGAAGGACAAACAGATAAACCGACAAACAGATAGACAGTGCTAGATCGACTCAGCACATCATCCTGATCAAGAATATATATATGCATTATGTAGGGCTGGCCACGCCTTCTTCTGTCCGTTACAAACATTTCGACACAATTATAATACCCCGATTTTCCATTTTCAATAGGTTCAGGGTATAAAAAGCGGGCGCTAATCTAATGACGTAGTGTACATATACATATATCTATATATCTAAATATATGTATGAACATTTATAAGCTGTAAGCTGTAAACTTGGCTTACAGTACTTAATGGCCACAAGACATTCACTTCGTTTCAGTTGTTTTTCGTGCGTGAGCGAGATTGGTTGTTGCTGTTGGAGGCATTGTAGCAGAAAGCGAAAACCGATTCGTACATCTAACTCAACACAAGTACATGCTTATTATGTGCATATAACCAGGCAGCCAACCAGTTTCGCATATAAGCTATGAAATCGAGTTATTTACCAATTATTACTTTGCTTTCGATCGTTGGCCTTCGATACAATTCGATTTGTGTCAATGCTGCAAACGCGGATCAAGCTCGCCCAAGCACACGTTTCAAGCTCCAAAGCCCGCCAGGGGAGCCAGATGCTAAACGAAATAGTAATCTATTTCGAGTAGTCAACGAGTGGAAATATATTGATTTCGAATATCCGACATTTGTCGAAAGACAATTGGCGATCAAAAATGGGTAATAAGCCAGTGGAAAACTGTTATGAAACTTTTGCAATTTGGCCGAGTTCCTCAATAATACATATATGTATTGCTGTGATTGATTGATCAAATTGCTCTTGCGTACACTCCAAAAACAAGTGAACACATTGGATTGCGATCATGGAGCTGTGAAGTCAGTGTATGGGAGATTTGTTGTATTGTGAGATCAGTTTGCGGAAAAACTCCGACTTTGATTATAGATGAGGTAGCTTTAAGTGCAAGTGATCATCATGGACGTAACTAATGCTATTGAATGATGAGAGTGGGGGCCTTGATTGATCTTAGTATAAGGGATTCAGGCAATTATGTCTTGCAGAGGAACGAATTTGATATTCGTTCTTGTTCCAGAGGATTATTCTCAAATGTGGTTGAGTAGGAATAAGCATACGTAGGTGAGATAAACATGAACAAAGAACCCGGCTGACTTCTGTGGGTCTAACCAGTGAGGTTCATTCACGATGGCAAGGATATTAAGAGTTATTGAAGGACATAGTCGAAGATCCTAAGCCACAGATGAAGACGAAATGCTATATCTAAGCAATTGACTACTTCATGATTTTTACGTAGGGCACATACAGAAGGCCGATGAGGAAATAGGAAGGAAAGAGCCAAGACCTCTACTTAGCACATAATGGAAGCTCTACAGGTTGGAGCAAAGTATTTGTTAGCGAGCATTTGGATATATTTTGTAATCACGTAAGCAGACTTCGATCCTTTGTAAGTGGAGAAAAGTAGAGTAGTAGAGTTAGTAAGGTTACTTTAGACCACCCATAGCTCTTTCTACTATACTCTAATCTACTGGGAGAGAGAACTCTGGGTTGTCTGTTTATGCAGTTACCTGACTTACAAAAGGCAGCTACGCAATTACGCAACTTCTAAATTTCTAAGTAGTATGATTCTGTTGTTACTTCAAAGTTCTGAGAGTCAAAGAGAGAGAGAGAAAGTGAGAAAGGGAGAGAGAGAGTGAGATGAAGCGGCAGAGTTACTTAACCTTTGTATTATAAAGTAATAAGTGTTATGTCCATATAACTTTTTGTGTTACGAAATTGTGCGTTATGTTTAACATTAAGTCACTTTATAGCTTCATCTCAGTCTTACGACTAACAAAAATATAATATATGTATTTGAGTATTCATTCTCTAGAATACTATGCTCTTCTATTCTATTGGATTAGTGTGACTGTAACTCCATGCAACTCTTACTTTCTACTTCGATCGATCGATCAGAAGGCTCACAGCTTCCGACTCTAGATGGCTCTTCTTGTCAAATACACTTCGTGAATAGTATACAGTGGTCTATTCTGGAATCAGACGCTTATGCTATATGGGGAATCGATTGTCACTCCAGGGAACAATGCTTTTTATGTGAAACTTTTAAATAATATGAATATTCTTCTTCCTCATATGACCCTAACAGCGATCATATAAAGTTGATGCTCGAACATTTTCTCGAAGATCAAAGATCGCTTCAAAATCTGCTTTCGTTGGATCACTAACCATATACGGTTATTCCTTTCCCTCGTGATGTACAACCATCTATATAATCATGCTTGATACAAATGAAGTCGATAGAATATACATATAGTTAAGAAGATCCATAATTTGGGAGCTATACAAGGTCCTTTAGGAAAGAGGAAGGCTCTCAAATCTACACTAAAAGCTTCAAGTGATATTCTCAGAGTTCAAATTCGCAGTACCTCGTGTTTACAAATCAACGGAATAGAGATACATATATGTATATCTGATATATAAATTTATATTTTTATTTGTTTTCAACTCTAGCGACTTTGTGATAAAAAATAATTTGCCCTTGGGCATTGATGTGTTTAATAATCGGCTGTTTATAACAACGCCGCGCTGGAAGGACGGTGTTCCGGCGAGCTTGGTCACCGTGACCTACCCGACCAAGGAGATAAGTCCGCCGGTCAGGCCCTATCCGTCGTGGCAGGCACACAGCAGCCCCTACAATCCGGACTGCTCCAAGCTGATATCCGTCTATCGCACCGCTGTCGATGTCCAATGCAATCGACTGTGGGCCATCGATTCGGGCATCGTGAATGCAACGGTCAAGCTGAATCAGATCTGTCCACCGAAAATTGTGGCCTTCGATTTGAGCAGCGATGAGATGATTGTGCGCTATCCACTGCCCGAGTCCCAGGTCAAACAGGACTCGCTGCACTCGAATATTGCGGTGGATATACGGAATGGCGATTGCCTGGATGCGCACGTCTTTGTCACGGATG